TGGCCATCTGGGCTGCAGGAAAATCACTAGCAAGCCAGAAGTCCTAGGTAGACATGTTGCCTGCGCCAGGGTCCCTGTAGGCACCGTGAGTGGGCGTCACCACATCGGCCTTCAACTGCAACGGGAGTTCTGAAGCTCGAAGGACACCAGGGCGAACATTCCAACCCCCAGAGATCGAGAGCGGCACAGATGAAAACATGAGACATTCGCCAAGACGGGCTAGCAGGGCGGCGCTCCTCCCTCCGAGACGCAAGCCTTGTGCGGGATAGACAGATCCGACAATGAGTCCGCCTCGTAGACCTGTTTGCACTTGCATGCACACCAAATGACCCGGCACGATGGCGCGCGACTTCGCGATCGCAGTTGATGGCACCGCACTGATGTGTGAACAAATGAAAATACCAGCTCCCCCAGCGGGCTTCTGATGTGGAGACTGCGCAGCATCGCTGGTGAAGGCCTGCCATCCCCGCTTACGACACCACTCTTCAGCCAGCACACGCACGTCGCCAAACAAATGCAGTTTGCGGCCAGTGTCAAGAGACGCTTGGCAGCGCTGAAGGAAGTCCTGCATCTGAGGCCAGCCTGAACTGTTAAAGGTGGCAATAATGAAACCATGGCGTCCGCGCAAAGCACGGCGACCGCGCCGAGGACCTGCGGACGGGGCGACATCACTGCCAGTGTGTCCAGCAAAATCGGCGACGCACACCTCCCTGTTAGCCGCCAGGTTACATACCGCATCTGCGCCCTTGCAAGGCCGACCGCTGGCTAACTCGCAATCTGCGGACACATTTGGTCCCTGCGCAGACATGGCACCGACGCCCGACGACCGGATGGAGGATTCCAATGGCACAGTGCGTCCGGCAAACTCGGCGACGTACACCTCCCTGTTAGCCGCCAGGTTACATACCACGTCTGCGCCCTTGCAAGGCCGACCGCTGGCTAACTCGCAAGCTGCGGACACATTTGGTCCCTGCGCAGGCTCGGCGCCGACGCCCGACGACGGGATTGAAGATTCCCACGGCGCACAGTTGCTGTCCGAGCCGCTGGCAGGGGCCGCCCCAGGCAGATATGATGTCCAATTCCAATCAGAAACCAACTCTGCATCCAAGAAATCAGAGTCGGTTAATTCGGGGAGCACCACAGCCCGCCAACCTCGTAGACGCCCCTCACTCGCCGGACCGATCTCACTGTCACTCGATCTGGTAGTGCGCGGCAGAGGACGCTGGAGCCTGCCCTGCGACGAAGTTCAGCTCCGCGGTCTGGTGGCAGCACAGTCTTGCGCACCTGCAACAGGTCGGCGTCGCCCTCCATCGGATCATCGCCGCGATCCCCTGGCGGAGGCCTTGGAGCTTCGGGCTGAGGCGTGTCACCCGGCATGATCAGGTCCCGCTGCGCAGCAGCCGCGGCAGTGGAAGATGCAAATTGACGCGCCGCCTCACCGACCAAGAGATCCACATAGGCCTGGTCCGCTTGCTGAGCAGCCAGTGGGAGCCGAACATTACGAACTGCGCTGAGACGACGAGCCAGATGCTGGTGCCACCTCGCGCGGTCTTCCTTGCAGGTGTCCAGGTAGCGCAGATTGAGCTTCCGAATGTCCCCCTCCGCATCGAAGAAGCTGTGGGGGCACAGGCGCATCGTAAGCTCTCGGACCTGCTCGGGCGCGGGGGCGAGGCGACGTAGTTGGGGACCCTCCGCGATCCAATGTCCGGCAGAAGGTTGGCACCACCACAGCCAGCCGTCACAGCCCATCACGTCGCCCCAGGCGACGACGTCACCAACCCAGTAACTAGCGTATCCACTGAGATGCTGCTGAAAGCTGTCTGGGTGTCTGGGCCCCATTCAAAATCTGGTTCTCCCGCGGCATGGGGACGAGCACCAGGTAGCGCAGCATCAGACTGAAAGTGACAGACACGGTCGTCGCCGATGTCGTCGCGCAGAACTGCCTGAGCTGCCGAGCGCGCCTCAAACCGCAACCTCGGGAGGCTCCTGGAGGATGCCGTTAGAATACTGACCCAGCGCCTGATGGCCACGACGCTCTGCACGGTCTTCGCCCGTACAAGTGTCATAAACTGCCTGCGCTGTGGTGTTGGCGCCCACGGTCTCGTCGTCGTGGCGATGATCCGCCACGATGTAGGCGCCAAGTGGTAGGATGTCGCCGTTCGGAACCTGCCGCGGCATGCCTATGACGATGACGAAGTAGCTGGTGCTGTCGAGACTCGACAGCACAAGCCGAGGGGAAGGCTGACGTGAGTGCTCACCCTGGCCGCTGGTCGCCAGCACGGCCTTCAAACGGGATCGCTGCGTCCCATGCCGTGGGTTAGGCGGTGCAGGTGGCGCTGCTGCTGCAGGGGCGGAGGCAGTGCTGGGGCTCCGCTGCATAGCCACCAAAGAAAGTGCCTCGTTGAACTGGCGCTTGAGCGAGCTGGCGTCGGTGGCCTCATTGCCCGCCGTGACTGATGGAGCTGCATTGACAATCTGTCCCAGCCTCTCCATGGCCACTGCCACAGCCTGATCATATCCTGGAGTCGGTGCAGCCGCCGTAGCGAGAACGGCAGCGCGAGCGGCGTGGACTTCCGCGTCGACGATCGCAAGCTCACTCTGCGTTTGAGCCAACTCATTATGCTTGGAGTCCCGTTGCGACTGCAGCAACCCATGGGCCTCCGTGAGCACGCTGACCTCGGTAAACTTCTGTCGCTGCTTGTCCAGCGATCGTCGTAATTGATCATATGGTGTGCGGGACGCCCTCTCGGCTTCCTCGGCATCTTGCAGCTCTTTCTTGGCGGCGACCACCAAGGCGCTTTTGTCGTCGAGGCCGAGCATCCGCAGGGCGGACAAGGCCTTGCGGGAGCGAGAAACCGCATCTGAAGCCGTGGGCGGCTCATCAGCAGGCTCGTCGTCGGCAGCGGCGCGCTCAGGTCGGGCGCTGCCTGCGCGAGGAGGTCGGCTCGACCGCCTGCCTGCTGGAGACCGAGCTGGCTGCCTGTCGGGCGGTGGTTTGGCGGGACTCGGCTTCCCAGCTCGATCTCGCCCGCAAGGGAAGCAACGAGTGTTGCTCGCAAAATTGCGACTGTACCCACACTGACGACCAGCCAGATACGCCCACCTGGGCTCCACTTGCACCACGGCATCGTGACCCTTCCTGCCCAGAGGCGAGGCGGAGCCGTGGTGCTGCTCCAGCAGCTGATGGGCAGCTTACAATCTGAGAAGCTGACGTGCAGAGCTGCGAGCCCTCCTCCGTCGGCGATGCCACGCTGGGGAGCCCGAGCGCGGCCTGCTGCCCGCAGACGCGCCTCCGGCGAGCCGGCGCGCCGCCCGCCAGGGGCGACCCAGGGCGCGGGAGGCGGCGGCGCCAGGCCGCAGCGCAGGGGCCTATCGCACGCGCTCGGCGCGGGCGGCCCTGCTGGGGGTGGGGACCCTCGACCCCTAGGAGGAGGAGGAGGAGGAGGAGGAGGAGGAGGAGGAGGAGGAGCAGGAGAAGCAGGAGGAGGAGGAGGAGGAGGAGGAGGAGAAGGGAGGAGCGTTCGGAACACTTGCTTGTCGAGAAGGGCACTACTACACCCAAGCGCCCCGGCAAGCCACCACGAGACAGGGAGCCGATCCCTCCCCCCCATGCCCAGCACAACGAAGGGCCGATATGAGTTCAATCCACGCCGCCCACCCAACTGGATAGCCGGGAGGAGGAGGAGGAGGAGGAGGAGGAGGAGGAGGAGGAGGAGGAGGAGGAGGAGGAGGAGGAGGAGGAGGAGGAGGAGGAGGAGGAGGAGGAGGAGGAGGAGGAGGAGGAGGAGGAGGAGGAGGAGGAGGAGGAGGAGGAGGAGGAGGGCTAGAGTCAAGCGCTAGCTACAGAGGAGGCGGAGAAAAGGGAAGGGGACGGGTAGCGAGGATGGAAGGTCGGGGGACCCGAACCACAACGCCATGACTTCTCCACACATCGTGAACACCACAAGGTCTGGACCCCTTCCCGGGGACGGGATCTCCATCCTGAGTCGGCTTATGGACGGTCCTGGAGCTTGGCGAGGGCCCCCAGACAGGCCTGAGCTGAATCGAATCGTGAAGTCGGGTCGGATCGGATCGCCATCGAATCGCCCCGAATCAAATCGACATCGAATCGCCGCGCCCAGCTCCGGCTGGCCTCGGCGAACCGAATCGAAATCGCGAACCCGGCCAGGGAATCGAATCGCACCGACTCGGATCTTGGGCGGCCCTGCCAGACAGTTTCTTGAATCGGCAACGCCAGCGATCGCGAGCGCGGGCGTCGCTTCCCGCGGGGCGCGCCGCAGGGGAGGAGGAGGGAGGAGGGGGAGGAGGAGGGGGAGGGGAAGGAGGAGGAGGACGAGGAGGAGGAGGAGGAGGACGAGGAGGAGGAGGAGGAGGAGGAGGAGGAAGAGGAGGAGGAGGAGGAGGAGGAGGAAGGTGAGGAGGAGGAGGAGGAGGAGGAGGAGCAGCAGCAGCAGGCAGAACAAGAAGAGGGCGGCCGCGGAGGAGGAACCGGGAAGGGCCCGGCCGCCGAGGGGCGGCGAGGTGAGCGGTGCGCAGGCGGCCTCAGGCGCCGAGGACGGCGTGCGAGGCGAGGGGCAAGCAGCGGGAGGAACAGGCCGTCGAAGCAGCAGACGACCGAGCGGCATCGAGAGCGGCCCAGGAGCATCGTCGCTCCGACCCCCAATCCCCAGCGGCGTGGCCCCCGCTGGCCGATTTGCCCCGCCGCTCCCTTCGGGTTTCGAGGGGTGCACCCCCAACTGGGGTGGCAATTTGGTGGGAGTCTGGAAGGGGATGAGGATGGGGATAGGGGGGGGTCGGTAAAAACGATACTGAACCCAGACCCTGCCGGCGGACACCGAGAGAACAGCCGAGCACCTGCCGTCGAAGTGTTTTCTCGGCGCACGTCGGGGGCGGGGCCCGCGCGCGCGCCCAGAAGACGCCCGCTCGGCCTGGTCGGCCGGGCAGCAGCTCGGTCGTGGCGCATGGGCAGCGGGCGGCGGCACTGCACGCGGCGCGCCTCTCAGAGGAACACATTGGGACGCGGAAGGACGTAGTGATCTTTGCTCATTCATCGTTTTACCGATCGGCGCGGGCCCCCCAAAACCACCTCTCCCCCCCATGGAGTAGATCTTGGCTGTTTTGGGCGCCTGTTTCGAGCAGGTGAAATCTCCCCAAAAGGCAGCACTCTTGCAAACAGTTGCACTAAGCACAAGTCTGGAGCCCCCCCCCCTCCCACCCCCCTCCCGCCCAATGTCGAAACGCCGAATCCAAAAACGCTGATATACTAGTCTTAGGTCGGGCATGTCCTCCTACAGGCGGCTCTTGGAAGAAAGATAACACCGAAGCCACAAATACCCAAACATGGTCCAAACATGCTTTGCTTCTTGTGGGATGCTGCTCCTGCAGGTGGACGTGCCCGACTCCTCACGTCCGGCCCGTGCCGTGCCGACTTCGGCGCTGGTCTCTGACACCGCGGGGATCGTTTTAAGTCGGGCCTGTCCCCCTACAGGGGGATCTTCGACGAAAAATTACAAATACCCCAAACAATAGTCAAAAAATAGTCTAAAAATAGTCTGGGGACTATTTTTTAGTAGTTTTTGATCTTCTTGGGGTATTTTTGAGGGTATCTTGCATTTTTCTTCGAAAATCCCCCTGCAGGGGGACACGCCCGACATAAGGATCGTTCAACCTGGAACGATCGGCCTTTTCCGAAACCTCCGAATCGTTCCGCATCGAACGATTCCGGGCCGCCCGCGGCGCTCCACGCGGCACGCCGCCGGCGGCGTCTCGCCGCCGGCCGACACGGCGCGAGCCTGCCGTGCCGCGTGCCGCTGCGGGGGGCGCCAGGCCCGACCCGAGCACGCCGCACAGCAGCTCGCGGCGTGCCGCCTGTGCCCCGGCGGCAGAAGGCCGGGCCTCGCCCGCCACCGAAGGTGCGCGGCGGGACTTCTGTCAGGTCGGGCCTGTCCCCCCTGCAGGGGGATTTCTGGACGAAAAAAAATAAAAATGTTCAAACAATGCTCAGAAAAGATGTCCAAAAAGAAAGATATTCAAAAAATGCTCAAAAGATGTCCAAAAATACCAACAACAAAAAAACTATGTTGAAACTATCTTTGAAAATTTCCCCGGTAGAGGGACAGGCCCGACTTAGGACTGCTGAGAGAGCGCGTACGTCGCCCCCCGCGGAGGCGACGCACACTTTTCTGTTCGGCCGCGGCGAGGCTGCGACGTCCGCTCCAGCGCGAGGCTAGGTAGGGGCACTGCGGTCGGGGTTGATTGGAGAGGGCACGCGAGAGGACACGAGACCCTTCCGAGGGCCACACTGCCACGGGAATGCAGGAAGCACGGGTCGCGAGACACAGGACACCAGGGCGCCCTTGATGTGGCAGGGTCGGCCTACTAGTCTGTGCCGACAGTACCTAGCGAATTGGCCAGCGAGCAAAGAGGGAAGAGGCACGGCCGAGAGGACGGAGGGACGCTCGGACGCCGAAGAGTTCGACGATGAGCGGCCAGCGGGGGCGACGCACACACGGTAAAGCACGTTTGGGCAACGCCGAACCAGAGAGGGCAGAGAATCAACCCCCATAAGAGCGCGTTTCTTTATTTTCGGCGAGAATGGGCATTATAGGGGGAGGGGGGCAAGGGGGGGCATAATGTAACGCCTCCCCCCCACTATGCGCACAGCGGCAGTGCCCCGAGCGCACTGGGGGGGATAGGGGGCAGGGAGGGGGGGCCGGGGGCTACAATGCCCGTTATGCCCCAAGCAATAAAGAAACACGCTCTAATAATCACCCCGACTCGCGAAGCCGTTTAGTAAGCGCACCCAAAGAAGGAAACAAACAGGGCAGAGCCGAGCGAGAGGAGGGGCCGATGGCTGCTGTCGGCCGGCGGTCGCCGGGGGTCCTCGGCGGCCATCGGCGGTCTTCAGCGCGAGCGCCCGACGTTTGCTGCGAAAACCGGGCTGGACGGCAATGCCTGCGAGGCCTTCGTGGGCGCGATGACGGCCCACCAGAGACACTACTTGATAAGCAATCAGAGTACCCCTGAACCCTTTGGGAGGGGACATAAGTCAGGAGGGTCAGAAACATTCGGGATAGGGGGGCGTTTTCTACAGATGGACCAGGCCAAACCGCCCAGATCTGTGATCCCTAATGCGACGACGGGGACCTCCGTGAGGCCACGTCTGCATCGTATTCCTAGGGTTGGGGTGTTTTGCTCTCTCTGACTACAGCCATCGTGCTACCGTTGGGAGAGCCTCGCCCCACGAGGAAGATCCCGAACCTGGACGCGCCAGCACCGCGCAGCCAAGCGAGCTCAGTCGTGGCGCACCGACAACAGGCGGTTGTACTGCACGCGGTGCGCCTTGGCGGGTTCTTCCGTGAACGCGGCGTCCCTCTTCGCCTTCGCGATGTAGGCGATCATCTTGTTGGTCTCCTCTAGAGGAGTCAGACACTGCACATACATAAACACTGTACACATACATAGATGTGTATATATATAGTCTGGGGATATACATACGTATATGTATACATATATATATATATATATATATATATATATATGTATATATACATGTGTATGTATATATAAATCACATATACACAAAAGACTGCACCGGCGATTCGCGCCATGCACCTTGGTCAGTCATCTCTAACACGCAGGCAACATGAGAGCGAAGTAGATCAATCAAATCAACGATCGCTTATTGCTTGCAGGTTTCGCACTCACCGTGATCATTTTGTTGTTCCTTCCCCTTACCTCATGTGACTTCTTCCTCTTCCACTTCCTCGTTCTCGCCTTAATTGCCCCGCGAACCCGCCCCCGTCCTCCTCAGATGTGCTTGCGGAGGCTCCTCTGAGACGAGCTTCTGGAGGACCTCGCGAAAGCTCTTTGGGGCTCCCTGGGCGCCTCCAGAAACGTTCCTGGCACCTTTCGGCGGCCTCTGGCGGATTCCTCGGGCCACCGTGCCGTGAACCGCTGTCTCTGGTCACGATTAGAATGTTTCCGGAGGGCGTCCTGGTGCAGTTGTGGGCCGTCATAAGCGGCCCTCTGTGGGCAGCTTGTGAACCCTCTGGGGCCGACTTGGGGCTCTCTGGAATGTCAGGAAACCGTTTCGTCGTCTTGGAGCGGCTTTCGGTGCCTCTCGGGCGTACATTTTGCCGTTTCGAAAAAGACCTCTTTGGGGGTGATATTTGGGCCTTCCTCGGGCGTCTGGCGGGGGTCGGGGGCCGCTGGAGACTATCTTGGAGCGTCTTGGAGGTCTCTTGGGACCGCCGCCGACCCGTTTGCACGGCATGGCGGGGACCTCAACAGGCCCGGAAATCTCGCGGGACCCACTGAGGGGGCGTCCAGGAGCCCCTGACGCTGGGATCCCGGCGTGGTGGTGATATGTATTCTCCCGCTCGCGCGCTAGCGAGCTGTCTCCGAGCGCGGCCGCGGCGTGCGCGCGCGGGGCGGCCCAAAATGGGCAGGCCCGTCCCGCGCGCTCATGCCGGGGCGCCGCGCGTCAGGCGGGGGAGTCCGCCTGCTCGCCGTCGACGGCGAGGCAGCGCCCATCAGCCTTAGATTGGGAGAGGAGGGAGGGGGGCAGAGAAGCTGCGGAGACAGCAGGAGCTTGCTCACAGAGAATAGAAGAGGCATTCTCCCGCTCGCGCGCTAGCGAGCTGTCTCCGAGCGCGGCCGCGGCGTGCGCGCGCGGGGCGGCCCAAAATGGGCAGGCCCGTCCCGCGCGCTCATGCCGGGGCGCCGCGCGTCAGGCGGGGGAGTCCGCCTGCTCGCCGTCGACGGCGAGGCAGCCATACCCGTGCTCAAGGACCTTGCGAAGTGACAAGGTTTCGGCGGGCGGCCGCAAGTAGGGCAGGCCAAGCGGCGGGGCCGACTTGGAGAAATGAGGCGACAAGGCGGTCGCTGGCGGTGGCGAAAAACAGGATTCGCGCCCGTGCGGGCACGGGCAGCGCAGCAAGAACTGTGGAAGCGGCGGCGGCTTGCAGGTAGCGCTCAGCACTGGAAGCCTGACGCCAACGCCCTCGCCAGAAGACGCGAGGGACGTCTTCCGTAGCGATATAGAAGTCTGTTGCGCCAGAGCCCCGCAGACATGCGGGCGCCAGGTTGAGCCCCTGACCCGCTTTGGCAAGAGGGACGCCCAGGGCCGAAAGCAAATGATTCCACCGAGTACGGAAGCCGCTCGCACCGAAAGGGGCGAGAGGATCGGTGGAAGCCAACCGCCCAAACACTTGATTCAGAATCTTCACCGTGCCCCGATCGGAGCAGCGAGCATGCTGCGTCGGGTACGTTCTCCTGGTCTTTGGAACAAGAATCGAGAGAAAAGCATCCCCTTCAACTTCGAGGCGGTCGCATGGAAGCGACAAGTCACAGCGGCGTGACGCCAGCAGCTCGCCAGGCCTGAGGAACATCGTGAAGCCCATGAGCAGCAAGGCCGCCATCACAGGCCAGTCCCAGGCGAAACAGAGACCGACCATAGCGCGCAGCAGAGCGCGAGGTAAGGGCGGGCGGAGCTTTGGCGGCTCCGCGAGCTTCCATTGTTTCGCTACGTCCCAAGCTTCTGTTAGAAAGGCCTTCCAATGCGGATGAGCGCTCTGGATTCCCAAGATGGCATGAACCAGAATATAATGAGGGAAACCTGCATCATGAAGCCACACGCCGAAGGTCGCGAGGAAGCGGGCGAGAAGTATCCCGCTACGGTAAAGAGTGGCGGGCGGCACGCCAGTGTGTTCTGCTAACCACAGTTCGAACGCATCAATCGATCTCGAGCGACGATCGAGATACGCGGAGGTGAGGTGAGAATCGCGCACGAAGGGAGTGCGCGGAGGGCGAGCGGGCGCGGAAGGCGCAGCCCGACTAAGCCCTTGGCCTGCGGTCGGCGCCGCGGCTCCCAGAGAGATGCAGAGGCCGCAGACGCACCACAGGATGAGCGCAGGGCGGCCAGGGCTGGGAGAGCTGATCAGCGTGGCGGCCCTCCTGCTCCTGGACGCGTAGAAGGGCGGAACGAGGGTGTCCCGCCCGTCGGTCTCGAACCCCGACGCCTCCGCCAGCATCGCCCGCGCCGAGGTGAAGGATCCGCCCATGTTACGGTGAGCACGGCGAGCCCCTGCTTCGATCTCGGCGGGCAGAGCGCCCCCTCCCTCGAGGGTCGCCCAGTCAAAGGGCGGGCGCGGCTCGGCGCGCGCAGCTGCGGCCGATTCGGCGAGCTCGGAACGAGCTGCCGAGGACGTGAGGCCCGAATGATGTGGAACGGGCACCACCTCCGCGAACGCGTCGAGGATCTCGGACGGAGGGGAATGAGATCCCCACAGCGCTGCTGGGATGGCGCCGTGACCGTCCTGCACGTGGTACAGAAGGTCGAAAAGGCAGGCCAACTTGCCCGCGCGCCTCCTGTGCTCGATCTTGGAGCCGAGCCCGATGCCACGGATGGCGCCCGCCCCCATGGCTTGGAGGTCAGCGCCCCCGGGGATAGCCTCGGGCTCGACGACGGCCACGTAAGGATGCAACCACGAGGCTTCGTCGATGCCCTCGGGCTCGGCGGCCCCAGCAGGTGCGAAAGACCTCAGCCACGACGCCGCGCTCTGGAAGGCAGCTTGCCAGGCGGGCCCCCACCTCACCACTGTGACCTTCTCACCGCCGAGGTTGAGACGCCACGCTAGGGCGGTGGCGGCCCCTGGAGGCAAGGGCTGCTCAACGGCCGCAGAGGCCGTGCGCCGCGCTGCGAAGGCTGCAGCCGCGGCGCTCCCAGCGTCGCCGCTGTGGGAGCCGCTGGGATGCAGCTCCTGCCCTGAATCTCGGCCAGGCGCGGGGCCGCTCGAAGACCCCCTTTCCTCGGCGGCACGCCCTCCGCCCTGCGGGGCCGCAACAGCATCGCTGGAGGAGCGCGTGCCTACCGAAGACTGAGGGGCCTGAGCAGCGGAGTCCGCGCGGGAGCTGCCTGCGTGGGCGTCGCCCGAGCTCGCACCATGGCGGGACGTGGCTGGCCGCTGCGCAGTAGCGGGGCTCGGGCGCCGCTTCGGAGCGACTCGAGGGGAGCGCACCTCGCGACGCCGAGGCGACGTCGCCTGACGCGAAGGCGCGCGAGAGGAGCCGCGCGCGACGGCCCGACTAAGCCCCTGGCCTGCGGCCGACGCGCGGGGTCGCGACGCCGCACGCCCACCAGAGTGGTGAGGGGGCGGCGGCGGCGGCGGGGGCACAGGCCGCGGCGTCTCGGAGCCTACACGCGCGCCGCGGCCCCGAGAGCGGCTGCGAACCGAGGCGCGAGCGGCGGGCGGAGAGGCCCCCGAGCGGCGAGGGAAGGCCGCCTGCAGGCGGCGGAGGACCTCGGGGTTCAGGCCCGCCACGACGCGCTCGAGGTCCATCGAGGAGTCTGCGAGGGCACTCAGCACGACGTCCTCGAGCTCCGTCGGAGAGTCCTCGTCGCACGCGGGCTCCGCTCTCGAGCGGCTGCGAACGCTCGCGGGCGGGGACCCGTCAGGAGTGTGCGGGCCCTCCGATGCCTCCCCCGCAGGCGGCTCCGACGGCTCCTCGGGCGAGATCGGGCCGTCGACGGGAGGCGACGAGCAGCCCCCCGAGGGAGAGGTGTGGTCGGTCCCGTACGGGTTTGGAGACCGCGTACGGCTGCGGGCAGGGCTGCGGCTCCGCGGTGGGGAGCCCACTCCCGCGGCGGAGCTGGGGCGTGCCGCGCCTGCCCAGCGGCGCGCATTGGCAGTGCGACGCGCCCTGCGGCCAGGCGCCGTGGCGGCCCCCCCCTCAGGGGCGGGGAGCGCCGCCATCGAAGCCCGCCGCTGCCTGGCGGCGCGCCTGGTGCGCGCGGCGCCCGTGCGCGAGGCGGAGTGCGGCGCGTGACCACCGCGGTTGGGCTGGTCCTCGACCGCTTCATCCCGCGGGCCCAGGCGGGCGCGGACCGCGCGCCCCTCACGACGGCTGAAGCTGGACGCAGGGTCGTCGGCGGGCCTTGCCAAGGCGCGCGGGTCCTCAGCCTCCACCTCGGCCAAGGAGCGGCCAGTGGACGACGCGGGTGCGTCCCCAGCACGAGCGGCACGTTCTGCGATGGCGATGCCCGTCGAGACCTCAGCGTTGTGCAGGACGGCGCGCAAGGTCTTGCGCCAATCCCGACCCAGCTGGACGGGAGCAGTGCGCGGCAAGCCCGCGGCCTCTCGACTGGCGGCCTCGCGCACGCGTCGGAAGTAGGCGCGATCGGCCATCCCTTCCGCGAGCTCGGCACGAGCGACGGCACGCTCGCCTTCGCCGCGTGCAGGAGCCTGCACCGTGCGCCTGGTGGCGTCGGCACGCGCGGTGCGGAGTGCGTCGAGCTCCACGCGGCCGCGCGACACGGCGGAGACGAGGATGGCATCCGACTCAGCCGCCCGCGTCGCGAGGGCAGACGAAACCCCGCCCCTCGGGAGAGGCGCGCCCGAGGCGGGGAGGGC